CCATGCACCGCTCCAACAACGTGTGTGTATTGCGTGTATTGCGAGCCCGCAACAGTTTATGTCAGAAAACACACTGTAGGTGACGGCCAGTTGCTGTCGATGTACGCGCTGTTATTCCCGAGACTGGTCTGCTACTAGGAGTTGCCCGTTTTCGTCAGATTGTCGATGTGTGCGGGGCAGCAACTCATATGCAACGGATATAATCAGTTGCCAGTCCGATGTACGCTAGGCATAAGGGAGCTGGCTCACCTCGGATGGAGACATCTGCCCGGTGGTGTCTCAGTGGCAGGAACAGAACCACCCCAGACGGAGATCCTTGTCTGGCGGTGAGATTGTGATGAGGGTAAAGGCAAGGTCATCGTTGGGCAACAGGTAGACAATTATTAATAATAATGATAATAATGCATCAGGTTCATGATGTCGCTTCACATGTCATTATTCTTTCACTCCATACACGGTGGTGATAAACTTCTATTGTAGCCACAGCTGCCCTGGGGCACCCTAACAGAAGCAATATCCCATCGGGCCATCCAACCACCACCAACCATTCACACACACCAGAATCATTCTAGACAATGTGGGTGAAGTCTCTTGCCTAAGTTTGGCCCTTTACAGCCACACCACCCCACAGTGGAACCTGGGGCCTTGTCTAGGTAACAACAACAGCAGACATCAGTGGGAGTTGGTGGAGAAAGTCTTGTGGTAGGCTCAAACCACACCCTTGTGGCTCAAAGGCCAATGCTCTACCAACTGAGCCACTGTCACACCTTCAGACATGTATGGGTGACATCCAGACCAGAACTCCACTGTTGACCTTTCAAACGGTCAGGAGGGAACAGAGGGCAACCCCAGACGGAGGTGCTTTGTCGGTGGTTCAAGGTAAAAGGTCCATAGGTCAGCAGTGGTGATATGGCACATGGCAAAAAATTAAATAAAAACCTGATGAAGTGGCAACAAACTGAGAGCAGGTGTGGCATAAAGGCGTTCTGCTGAGTCCTTGTGGTGGCTGGTCCATTCTGTCATGTGGAGAAATGAAGGAAGGACCTAAAAAGCTGGAACGCAAACAGTCAACAGGGGAACAGGACAAGTGTAAGAATGTTTTTGTGTCAGAACCCAGGAGTCTGGGATGAGGGCTAAATATGTTTCAATCCAGGTTAAAAACAGTTCTGTTTAGCTGTGCATACAACTGAGGGATTTTATATTGTTATCTTTCTTTTTAATGTACTGAGATTATTTATGATTTGAATGCTATCTTGTTTTATTCAGCACTTTGAGTTGCCTTGTGTATGAATTGTGCTATAAAAATAAACGTGCATTGCCTTGTCTTACAAAATAAAAATCCACACCATGAAAATGTTATTATTTGGATAGGGTATTGCTAGCTTTAGCCGGGACCCGGTAAATGGGTTGACCACCCGAATCAAAAAAAAAAAAGCGTTATAAAAGTGTTTGCATTGTTATTATCAAAACAACACATCTGAGAGTCTTTTGAGTAAAATAGTTAAACTAAATAGAAAGTATCAGATAGATAGATAGATAGATAGATACTTTATTGATCCCCGTAGGAGAAATTCAGTTGTCCAATAGCAGCAAAACTATAAATTAAAATTGATCATTCTAAAAAGATATAATGGGAGTTTATGAGTGTTACGTCTTCCCACTGCATTTCAGGTCTCTCAATATACTGTATATCTATGAAATGATGCATGTTCAAGGTCTGTATCAACTGAATCCTGTATGAACCTGAAAAAAAAAATAAGAAAACGATAAATGGACATAACAAAAAAACAAAAAACATGAAGACTATTTCAGACCGTGGAAAGATTATAGACAATAAATATTAGGGTTAAAACGCATAACTCCTCAGAATAGTTTATCTGCAAAAACAGATAAGTGCCATGGATCTATTTTAGTGCCATACAGATAAAGTTTCACCCTTTCTTGCGCAAATTCCTTCAAGTGCACTGCCATTAACAGAACATGTTGTAGATTGTAACTAGAGGAAAACAATATTTGGACAACATTTACAAATGGAGATATCTGTTTTTGCGTATAAACTCTTTGTATCTTTTACAGTACATTGCAAACAGAGGCCTTTTGAGCCTCCACTGCATACCTCCACACAAGATTGCTCCTACCCAATTATGACTACTTTGACTTTAGAAAGAACAGGAAGAAACTTTTTTTTTTTTAACACAATGTGACCGGGAACAGGAGTGAGTTGTTTGTCTTCTGAGAAAGAAATCTGCCGAAAAGTGAAGTTTTTGTTCCCATCCCCTGCCTCCCATATGCTGCTGTCTATGTCTCCCCTTGTATCTTCAGATAATTGCGGCGTGTTCCCTCACCGTGCAGATGGCAATGTAGGCAGCTCCACATACGAACACCTTTTATTATGTTTCTTCATTAAACACAACTGTAATTTCACTAATACAATAGCCCACGTACTCCATTCGCCTGTGTACATCCTCGCCACCTGTTAGACCCATCACCAGATTTTGCCCTCAACCTTTCACCGCTTTTGACCTGCATCTTTAAGAACTATACAGAATTCAAAGTGCACATCCCTTCATTGGGATCTTAAGCGGCTCTCTTGTACTGTATATCCAGCTTGACACGGTGCCAAAAGCGCCCTGGTTCCTCATTGTGACGATTTCCGGCACTGCAGATGGTGGTTTCCTGGCTTTCTAATCAGAATGCTATTTAGTCTCTCTAAAGGAGCTGCATTGAGGCCCACATTAACAGCACTCGTCGGTGTAATGTTGAGCTCCGGGCATAGGCCACCAGCTGCATCCACTTGTCACCCTGTCTGTCTGTAGGAAATCGAGTTGCATTGTGCCAAACGACTTTAAAGTTAATCGCTTAAACGCGCCTCATCTAATTTGCTATGTTTGATATTATCTGCAGGTCTCACTGTTTATGCATGTATGTATCGCCAATTTGCTTCCAGAGACAGATGTATAGAGGGCTTGAATGTCCAGCTCAATGGTCTGGTTCATTTCCATCTCCAGTTTTTTATCACAAAGAAGTCACATTCTTGATCTCTCACCCCGTTAAAGCACTTGAATGTAATGCAATGTAATTTAACGTCTCATATATATATGCATATATACAGTATGTATAAGTATTTACGTTGTAAACATTATCATATACTTATGCTAAATGCATTTTGTTGCATTGTCCTGACTTGCAATAAAGTTGAATCTAATCTAATCTAATCCAAATCAGCACAGAATTTGGACAGATTACTAAAGTTGGGTATACACGGTGCAATTGTATATGTTTTGTAGCGAGTCAAGTGGTAACATTTGCAGAAACTGTTTTGGTTGAGATGAGATTCAGTGTGTTGATGGGAAAGTAATGTAAGGAAGATTAACTATTGACCACAGTTATGCAATATTAAAAAATATCAGATCTGATCCAGGTGGAGATGATCCAGCACGCTCAGCATTCAACAACATCTGGACATTTATCGACACTTATGGACAATGGTCGTCTGCCCCTTATGGACAATTCCTGTGTTCATGTGTTTTTATCATTGCATTTATTGTGTTTAAACGGTTTGATTCTCTGATCTGTGTTGGCGAATTTAACACAGTTATTTCCTCCGAGATTCCTACTGATGTTCTTTAGGGCAAGACAAGAATAAATTGAATTGAATTGAATTGAAATGATTTTAATACGAGGAAAAAGTGCAGAGACTACTCATCCATTCAGCTGCTCACACACCTACTGTAGAGGGACATGAGCGTGCATACATTGTTTTTATATGTTATATGTTTATTATGTATATTGTTTTTACTTGCACAAAAAAGTCCTTTCAATGCATCATAAAACCGTTACAGTATATATAGCATTGAACTTACCTTTATTTGTCTGCAGGAGGATCAGTGAGGGGCTGGTGCTATGTACTGGGAGCAGCTCTGACTGCCACCCCCCGACCCAGAAATGGATTAAGGGGAAGAAAATGGATGGATGGATGAAATGTATTAGTAAAGAGTAATCTGGGTTTGCTCTGCTCCCTGTTGTTGTATTTTAGTTGCACTTAAGCAACACCGGTCCCCATGACCACTAACACATATCAGCCTTTTTGATGTCCCTGTGTTCCCTGAGATCACCTGTCCAGCGTGATCAGTGTGAGCAGACTATAAGCAGCTCATAAGACAGTATTTTTGTAGCGCCTAATATCACAGAGCTTTACAGAATAACTGATTTAATGCAGAACATAAACTGTATTTTAAACCCTGACTTCCACAACATGAAAACTTAAATGTTTTTCGGATGATAATTAATCTGATAATGTGATCCGTGACAACAACAGATGGCCAGTAATCAAAGAACAACATTTACAAAACAGTATGACGACCCCAGTGCAGCCAGTCCTTAGCTTGGGGATTAAGGACACGCTTTTGACTTTAAAGTGTTTCTAAATCCAATTCAACTTGAGTCTGTTATGCTTCACATTTGAGTGGCCAGTCAAGACTAAATTAAAAAGTATGGATCCATAAAACACCTAACTACTCCCAGACAATTTATCCAAATCTCTCGCCTTTTCTGCACGTCGTATTAGTTTCTCATACAAATCCGATGAAGAGAACTCAATTATGACGGATCAATAATTCAGTATTCTCAATTATGCTTTAATTGTAAGAAGCAATATCATCCAATCTTATTGTGTGGATAGGTGTTGTTGCTGTGCAAAGCTAGCGCTGATTGTTTAGATGAGATTATCGCGTGTATCAAGAGAAAGGATCAGGCAATGTCACAGCTCCCTGGCACAAACACTAGGGCGCACATGCACGCTCGCCGGGCGCGCTCACACACCCTTAATGACACAAGCACACAACATAAAGCCAAATGCTGCCACTAAAATTTGCATGGTGCTCAGTAATGCATTAGTGAACATCACTTGGCAATCTGTTCATACGGGCTTAATTGGATTTTAATACCGCCTCTGATCTTGTTTTCTAATTAACGACGGTGGCTGGCAACCAAGCAGAACCATGCACCCAGCGACACCTTTGATCCCGGCCATATGGAGTCCCTCCAAGCACGCCCGCCACCGAGAAATCCTTCACCTCCACGTGGGCGAACAAGGGGCCGTGCGTCTCCAGGAGGATGGGAGGAAGGTGGCATGGAGCTGGGGTGAGTGCGTGCGGCAGGTGGACCGGGTGAGGGGGCTATTGTTATTGATGAATTTCCCTCACGATTGGCTGTGATACATTAAAGATGAGAGGAGAGCCGGGATGCCGCTACACCTTATCGTTCGACACCCCTTGGTTGCTGCGGGGAAATGTCAATAGCTTCTCTAATCTGTTTACTGCTCCCCTCGTGGCCATCGCTTTATGCTTTTGACGAAGGGCTGCCAAACACGTGTCCTCTGCTACCCTTGAGTTCTGTTGTTTGGCTCACACACTGGGTATTAAGTTTACATTCAGCACTGCTTTCCAAATGGACTGAATCGGTGCCATTTTTAAGATGTGTTAGAAAAACGGATCTTGGTGAGATGTATCGCTGGTTTTTAGACACAATATTCTCTATTTATTTTATCCAGATGGGGAGCAGCTAAAATGATGCTATGCTGGCTGCATTATTGACAGACAGATGATTATGTTCAACGTTTGTCCATTTATTGAATGCTTAATAAGAAGGCTTTTATACTTCTTTGTATGCAATAGTTAGAGATTTTTTACTTGTTTTCAGGGGTGGCTACACTCCTGCCTCACAGCAAGAAGGTCCTGGGTTCAAATTCGAATTCTGAGTGGAGTTTGCATGTTCCACCCATTTCCTCCGGGTGCTCCGGTTTCCACCTACCACTAAAAACATGCACCTTTACCTTTTTGATTTTCTGATCTGGGTCTGCAAATTCGACGGTTTTGTAAAGTCCTCCGAGATAACTATATGTACAAGTATATTTGTATTAACTCTCTTCCAATACCATTGTGAGCTCAGTTTTGGTAAATGACTAGAAAACATAATTCCATTCATAATACATTCCTCCCATAATCAAAGCCGTGACATCATTTGGCCTTTTGTGACAATGGGACACTAGATAAAAAGGCCTGGTGTCCTCGCACATAGCACCTGCATAATACAGTCACTGTACGTGCCGCTCGTCCGTCCTTCATAGGGCAATTACAGAAACAATATGTACATTCTCCTGTGAAGAGGATGGTGACATATTGTGCCCCGGCTAATGACGAGAAATGCATTAAGACTAAAGCGAGGTTCCGACGATGATGGCTGCCAGGGCCCGAAGGTACTCTCTTTCTTTGTGGCGGAGTGCTTTTCTGCCATCATGAAAGCAGCATCCTTGCTCTTCTTAAATTACCGGATTGTCCTCCTGACCTCTGCATGTCACAAAGTTTTCTCGTCTTTTCATCAAAGCCACTTTTTGAAGCATTTGGAACGCTGTTTACACCACAGCTTTTTCTCTGAGACTCTTAATGGAGGTAGAGGCGGAGTGTGACCTTAGTTGATGTTTAAAACGGTTTAATGTGAATGGACTGTTTTGTAGAGTAAACATGTGACATAAAAAAGGAACGCATGCCTTTCATTGTTTATTATAAAACTTAACCAGATTGCTTTTAGTCTACAGGTGATAATAAATGATGAATGGCACTTTGCTAATAGGGCTGCACATCGACTGTAAATGTGATGTTTCTGTCTAAACTCAAATTTTGTTTGGAGTAAATAAAAAAATGAAGTGTAAAGTGGATTAGATTTATAAAAAGTACATATGAGGAAATAATTGAATACATAATTACCATGCATTTCAGATAATGGTTATACAATTCTACCCTACAGTACATTATTATTTCCTCTAGTATATACAGTGACATATTAATGGTCACTGCAAAAAAAAAAAAAACAAATGCAACAAAAAAGGTTCAAACTTGAACTTGGACTTGAATCAAACAGAGACAGGATCAAACAATGTCTTTGTCTGGAATGAACTTAAAACCAAATATATGTCTGTCATCACTGAGCACCCATAGCTTCTGGATGTTTAGGCTACAAGTTGAGTGACATGCCCTTCATTCTTCAATTTATTTGTTCCTGTAAGAAGGGAGTCCAGCCAGTTTCAACTACAGTCTGTGCAGTGATATTTAGCACACAGTTGACTTGATAGGGGAGACCGTAGCTCAGTTGGTAGAGCATTGGCCTTTGGGCCATGGATCATGGTTCGAGCATGGTGCCGTAAAGATGGCGCCGTGGCAAGAGCTCTGGTATGTGTCGTCTGGTGCACACTGGGGTAGTCTTGCACAGTTTTTCCAATGTGGTTTTACTGCAAATGGCAAATAAATGAATCTGAATCTGAATCTGAGCCCACCATGGGACCTACACCAACTGCTCCCACAAATGTCTACTGTCATTGTGTCCTTGGGCAAGGCACTTAACTACACATTGCCTGAAGCCCCTGCTGAAAGACCAAGGCTGTTTCCCCACTGATGGAGCAGCCATCTTCCTGCTGTGGATCCACCAGCTGCAGAGGATCAGCGAGGGACTGGTGCTATGAGCATTGGGTGGCAGCTCTCATTGCCACCCCCTGACCCAGAAATGGACTAATAAAGGGGTTGAAAATGAATGAATGAACAGTCAACCTACATATAGTTTATACATTACAGAACAGAAACACATAACAAATAAACAACAATGGAAAAATAATAAACAATGACATGAATGGACGGATAAGGAGACTAGATTGGTCGTACTGTAAATTTTATCTTTGATGGTCATGGCTTGACTGATCATATATTTATATCATATTTATATGAATGGGTCATTGAGGGACTTATTGTCATTATGAGCCATTTTAGAAGAATATTGTCTGGTTGAAGCCCAGTTTTGTACTTGATGGAGTTCTGGTTTCACTCAGGTTTCATTCTGGTTTGGTTCTGGTTTGGTTCAGGGTTTTTTTCTCCTATTTTGATGTATAGAAAATACTTTACACATCCAGAATTCCCTGTGTAAATAAACGGAAACATTGAAAACCTTAGAGAAGTTTCCAAAAGTTACACACACTTTTTTTAATATAAATAGGCCAAGAGAAAGGAGTCTCGCTAGACAGAGAAAACACGTCATGTGTTTAAACTATTCAACATTCAATCTACTCATTCCGAATGAAACAGAAGGCATTGAGTTCACATTCATCGCACAGGTGCAGTGCAAAACAGGATTTCAGAGGCTGCTCCACGTGGCTTACAGTAAAAAAGAAAAAAAAAACAAGAAAAACAAGCATACATTACAGAATAAGCTCATACAACGTTAAGCAGCAGCATACGATCATTCTTAAATTAGGCCTTACATTTCACTTGACCAAACGTGCAATTGTTTTGAGTCAGTGCAGGTATGTTGAGAGCTGGATTCTTAAAATAAAACCTTTTTTTTTTATGATGTGGTTTACTCGCTTACATTGACCATCCAACTGCAACCTGTGAAAATTGCGGAGAAATTCATGATTGATAAAATAAAAACGTATAAGGATTATTTTAAAAAATGGTGTAGAGGTGGTAAATATAGATCTTACATGGACACATCATTCTCCATTTACAGTTGAGCTACTGTATATCCTGATTGACATTTGTAGCTTTTTGTATAGAATAATTTCAACACTCAGACTATATAGGGCCAGCACATACGTATAGCTTATGGTGATTGTTGCTCTCAGGTATGATTTAATTACATGCTTTCGACAACAGACTCAAATGTTTGCTCTGTTCTCACCAAAGCACTGAAACACACACACACACAGAGAAAGCAGCGTCCACAGCCGGACACGCCCAGTGTACTTAGCCCTGGGTGTTTTTGGCACGGCTACAGAAACCATGAAGACAAGTCCCATCAGTGCGCAGTGTCCCGCGGGTCAGAAGACTTCAGTGAAATAGCAGCCGTTACAGCCGGAGCAGAGCGGTTTGCAAAGTATGAAACAGACACCTGAACAGAGGAATGCCACTCGCTAGAATCAGCACACACACCGTTTTTTGGTTGTGTCCTTATCTGTCCTCCACCCAGTTCAACACCTGTATACAGTAAGATTATGAAAGGATTATGAGGTGTGTTGTATGGAGTGGTATTGGATGTACAGAAACTATCTTCCTGTCCTTCAGGTCCTGTAATTAGGCAACAGTTGCGAAACAGGACAAATCTACACTGCAAAAAAGTGATCAAAAACAGTCAAAAATAGCTCAGAGTTGGCAAAATGTATCTTAATTTGACACATTTTGACTGACAAGATTTGCCAATGGGACAAGAAAAATGGTCTTGTTTTAAAAAGATACAATCCAGAATCAGAATCATTTTTATTGCCACGTAAGTAAGTAACAGCGTGCCACTTCGGCATTTACGGCTCTGTGTGAAGAATGTGAATCCCTCACTTCTAATGATATGAATGAGGATATTTTAAGTTTCAACTCTGATCAAATGTATTTTGGTCGTGTGAATGACTTTTGGCAAGATACGTAAACAAAATAACGCTTTTAGGAGCCAACACTCAAAAACCGATTGGTCTAAGTTGGAAGTTACATACCCCACCAATCTTTAGTTAAAACAACCAATCTATATAGGTCACAGACCAATAAATTATTATAGATTATGTCAAATCTTATTGTAGTTGGGTGAAGTGTCTTGCCTTAAGGCATAGTGAAACTTTGGCACTTTACAACCAAAGCCGCAACACTGTGGCACTTGATGTTCCCCAAGGTCTCCCATCACTCTTCTAACCAGGTCTTCCCCTGCATAATAGATAATGAAACTGATCTATTTCAGCGCCAAACTATCTATCGGTCAGAATGATCAATCGCACCATTATTGGTTTAATACAGATATTTGAAAAAAAGTTGCTGTGATTTGAACATGCCAAACATTATTGTTGCTATATATTTGGTCATCTAAACTGTCCTTCATTTAAAGATGATGTGTTCAAGAACAATGGAAGTTTTTGATCATTAAATCAATACACATCAATTATATTGTCCAATCTTTATATCGTTCAAGGACATACAGTAAATACAGCAGCAGATCCATCACAAGTTGTATAGTGCTCCTTTGATAATATTCACTAGTCTCCATTATTGTGAAGCTTCCTTGAAGTCCATCATAGCAGAACACAGTCAAATCTTTTTTCTTTTACCTGCTGACTATACTTCATGTTGTTGTGTAAACCGGGTCTGAAAGTAGTTTCACCAAATGTTTGCACAGGTATTTCACATGAGTGGGATCCAGGCCTTCCCAAAGCTAAAGACGGCATTTCAAAGGACCACGGTCAAGTCAGAACCTCTGCGTCCCTTTGCAACAGAGACCTTTTCTTTGCTTCATCAAAAGATGGGATTAAGTTGTCAGAATGCGGTCCGGGTCCAGACTGGTCTTTTTGAGTGGATCTTCTCTGGTCTGATCTCTGGCACTGCTAATAGGCCAGCTTTAAAGGGGGAGTGTGGAGAACAGAGGAGGGCTGGAGGTAAGCAGGCTTTAGGATCACTTTACCTGGATTCGGCTGTGTGGCGCTGGTGGATTAGTGCCCCAGGGCTGATGGCACGCCAGTCTGTACAACACAAGAGCAAGGGCAGGTACAGTAGAGGCCAGTATGGACATGCAGTGGCCAGTGAGGAGCTCTCACAATGGGATCTGTTCATTGAGTTTGGTCTTGTCTAAAGTTATTCCACACTGTTAAAAATGCACCTATTTCAGAGCCATTACAGTTACTTTTAGGTTAAATGTTTTGAACGGCCATGTCCTATTAGCCATGTGATTGTACAAATCAGATCAAAACATACTGTCTTTATCTTTAGAAAACGTATTATATTTTGCATACCCATAAGAAAGACACCTGCGAGTCACTACTCGACGCTTTGAGCTGAGAACTGATTGACTGAGTGAGGGTGGTCCTCTCTTTTTCTTGTTTCTGTCTGAAATCCTAATATGTGACAGAAGGGAAAAAAACATATGCACATGAAACTAGCGATGGGACCAAACTGTTTTGAGAGACCGTGAGATAGATATATTACATAGTTATATTTTTATGGTTCAAAAGTCAGATACATTCAGCTATAAAAGCAATGACAAAAGATGATTCCTAAATATTCCAGAGACAAGATGTGGTTTGAACCTAGGTCAGCATTGCATTTTCCCTTGAGTCCTTGGGCGGGATACTTTACCTGCATACTTACACTGGATTACGTGTTGTGACAGGAAGCATAAAGAGAAATGTCCATAATCAGTCTGATCCGAGTTTTGGTGTTCCCACAGGTCTCCCATCATAGTACTAACCAGACCCTGCACCACTCAGATGCAGAGGTCTGACAGGATTTTGCTTTTCACATGCAGTTGACAGTTTAACCTTATTGATACTGGATGGAAAGGTTCGGAGGTTTGTAAGAGTTTCGTCCAGCCCCTTTTTCAAAACAAGTTATGTTTGTGTGCACATTTTGTTCCGTGAAGTCGTGTTTATACATGTTGTGAAATAAACATCTTAGTAAGTAAGTATTTTTTTTATTATACAGCGCCTTTCACAAACCAGAGTCACAAAGCACTTTACAATTGTTGCGGGCCTTTGTGCCTCTTACTCCACATATGGGAGCGGGATCGCAATACAGGAGTCGCATGCCAGACCTATTGTACAGTATATGGTTTTAGCGGTAGGGGAAACCGGAGCACCTGGAGGAAACCTACGCAGACATGGGGTGAACATGCAAACTTCACACGGAAAGGCCTGAAGGTGCAATTGAACCCAGAATCTTCATGTGTGCTCAAGCACAAGCGCTAACCACTGCGCCACTGCGCTGCCCGAATCAATCTTATCTTGATTATTCATTGACAAATACTTCATCTTGAAGGGAAAAAAATGGAAAACGGTATTAATTCTGGTTTCCAAAAATGCCTGAGACCACTGTGGCATAACCAACACCTCGCGATCTCAATAAAACAACTACTTTTAATCCGTCCCAAACTTCAGCACACATCCCTGGCGTGCGTACAGCCCTGGTTGTCACACAGACTCTCTCTCAGAAGCCTGCTGTGGCTCTGATACCACGTAGTAAGGTCACTCACTCATCCAACTCGCGCGAGCGGAACCCGTAAAGGAGAAAATACAGGTTGTTCTTGGCAGGGAGGCCGACGCCACCATCCCTTATGTGGGCCGCCTGTGCCTGGCTCGTCTCTCCCCCTCAGCCACTACCTGATGACTTCTCCATCCGTTTTAATTGGTAATTATTTTGCAGGGTTTAATGCCTTTATTCAGACTGTCAGTGTGGAGTCAGGAGAGGAGGATTAGGTGCCCCAGGGGGACGCGACACTGGCATGGGCAGGACAGCTCATTTTGACACGGCCAGGGGAGGAGGACGGCTCATCTTTGATCCGGTTGCAGCTTCGGTGCAGGCCAGAGGGGTGACAGCTGCACTTTCTTTAGCCCACATTTGAATTTGAATTCTATCTTAGGATGCAGCGCGCCGCGGACTTGGCAGGGCAGTGGGGTAATCTGCTCGGCACAAACGCCCGGGCCTTTTCTTCCTGTGTGCCCTCGCCGAGATTGGAGTAATTAAAGTTAAATGGAATGCATTAAAAAACTCACTTGTGCCGAGGCTGTGGCGGCCGTGCCAACACTGAATGGGGCTGGGGCTGTCCTTTTGCGGCGGCTCTAATCCCGCCGAATATATGCGCGCCCCGTGACTTTGATGCTCCGCTACCAAAGCATCGGAAAGGGCGACCAGCGGCGCTACAACTGACTGCTGGCTTTCACCTCAGAAGAACATCTTGGAGAGCAAATTCAGCTAGATTCCCACATTGGCAGCAGGTTTGGATGGAATCAGCACGGCGAAGGCTATTAGCGCCTCTCCAGACTTGTGTCACTCTTAAATTGCTTTCATGTATTTAAATACCTTTCCCCCTGACCTGTGGTAATACTTAGAGTGATTCAAGCTGCCTGGCTGTCCGCTGCTTTGAAAAAAATAACTTAGGCCTTGAGTCAGGAACAACTTTTCATGCCAAGTATAAAGAGCTGCTTGCGTGTAAGGCATCTTGACATACGGTAATTGCGGCAGTCTGACAGCTTTTTCTCACAAAGACACCCTAATATTTTGCATTCTTTGTCGTAAGACCACTTCCTCACAAGAAAGCCATACTTATTGGAGTCAATGTAAAAGCCTAAAGATGGACACGAGCAAAAATGAATAGTGATTAATGCTCTGAACACTGAAAAGAACAGACTTGGATCTTTGGATTACTTTACCTGAACAGCAATATTAAATGGAACAAACTTTTAAAATATGTTTTACACAACGAATAATAAAGTCTGGGATTGTGTCTCAGGCCGAAGATATGTTTGATTGTTGATGGTAAAGAAGATACAAACAAATTTTTTGCTAAATACATGTGATTTTAAACCACAGAGGAATCAAGGTCCTCCTCCTCGTGACGGCGCCAAGAGATATGGTAGCTTCGGCCTTCAGATCACCAAAACGTCAAGTGGAAAATCACTTAGTCCTGCATGCTGGCATAATGAAGAGTTCAGCTTTCGCCATAGTTGCTTCAAAAGTGTTATAAAAGATCCAAACTATTCTCCCCCGCAGATACATTTAGCTTAACCACGCTCGGTTCCATTTCAAACTCTCCAACACAACTTGATCTGTGAGATAACTCAAACTCTAAAAGTATTTTGTGCTGTTTTGAACTCAAGAATCCTCTTCAAGCTTGTTCTGAGAAAATCCTTATGACTATATTCTTGCTTTTGTGCATATCTCTATCTTGACAAATATGTTTATCAAGCTAGCTTTTATACACTTGCAAATTGGGAAAAGTTTCAAACAATAAATTGTTTGGTTTACATAGGAGAACAGGATTTGGTTAACTTTGATGGGTCAGGGTTAGACAGCTCGTAAAAAATGCATGGCAATCTTAAATTTATGTTTTGTATGTTTGTTTGTGGTTCCTTCCGCTGCCAGTGGATAG